TCATCCTTGACAGTGACCTTCCCTAGTTGCTCATATTCAAACTATCAACAAGGATCACCCACCTTAAGTACTTCTCAACTCTGACACCTGTCCATCACCACTGCAACCTCCCTACACTGAGGAACCACCTCTATCACCCTGACCATTGCAAAAGCCTGGTTTCCCCACAACCATTCCACGCCCATCCAATCCCTACCCCACACAGCAGCAGGGTGATCTTTTCTAAATGCCAGCCTGAGTTTGTCATGTCACTGCTTAAATCCCTTCAATCAATGGTTCCTCCATTGCTTTTAGCATAAAGAACCAAAATCCTTAAAATAGCTGCAAGATCTTACATGATGTGTCCCCTAAAAATGGCCAATTTCATCTTGCAGCACTTGCCATATCTCAGCAAAACTGACCCTTTTTTTTTTTCATCCATCGAATCTGTGTTTATTCTCCCTGGAATGATCTTCCTTCTCACTTCATGCTTAGGCAACTCCTTTTTAACCTTTAGAAAAAACCTCAAGCATTACTTTTTTAAGAAAGACCCCGACCCCCTGCCCCCCGACCTCCAGTCTAGGTCAGGGTTTTTTCTTAATTTGCCTTTAATAGAAACATGTTTCAATTCAATTTGTAATTATACACTTATATGATTACATAATTAATATCTGTCTCCTCCACTAAATTGCAAGTTTCATGAGAGCACAGCTTTTTTTGGTTGTGCTTGTCATCCTACACTTAACATCTAACACAAATAATATGTATAACAATATAAATAATACAGCAGAAATAAATAGATGCCGACCAAGGCAGGCGGATCATGAGGTCAAGAGATTGAGCCCATCCTGGACAACATGGTGAAAGCCCCTCTCTACTAAAAATACAAAAATTAGCTGGCCGTGGTGGCACACACCTGTAGAGCCAGCTACTCGGGAGGCTGAGGCAGGAGAATCACTTGAACCTGGGAGGCGGAGGCAACAGTGAGCTGAGATCATGCCACTGCACTCCAGCCTGGTGACAGAGCAAGACTCCATCTCAAAAAAATAAAAAAATAAATAGGTTCCATAGAAAAGTTCATTAAACTGTTAGCTGAGATCGTAAGAGGGAGAGATTACATTTAGCTGGAGAAACTGGGAGAGGCTTTACAGCAGTAGAAGTCAACTTGGCTGCATCTTAGAGCCACCTGGGAACCTCAGAAGATACTGATGCAGGTTCCTCAGAAAATTAAACATAGAATTACCATATGATCCACCAATACCGCTTTTGGCATATATACACAAAAGAATTGAAAACAGGGACTCAAACAGGTATTTGTAAATCCATCTTTATAGTAACATTATTCACAACAGCTAACAGGTGGAGGAAAAAACAAGTGTTCATGAACAAATTAATAGATAAGCAAAATGTGGTCTACACATACAATGGGATATTATTCAGCCTCAAGAAGGAAGGGAATTCTGATACATGTTGTAACACGGGTGAATCTTGAAAACATCGCAATAAGTGAAATAAGTCACGAAAGGACAAATACGATACAATTACACTGATATGAGGTACCTAGGATAGTCAAATTCTCAGATAGAGACAGAACGTAAAACCGGTGGTTACCAGAGGTTGGGGAATGGGGGAGGTGTTGTTTAATGGGTAGAAAGTTTCTGTTTGGGATGATTAAAGGTTCTGGATATAGATGGTAATGATGGTTGCACAACATGCGAAGGTATTTAATGCCACTGTACTCTAAAATGGTTAAATTGGCAGACTTTATGTTATCTATATATTTTAATGTCATTTAAAAGATCCTAATGCCCAGGTCCAACCTCTGATTGAAGGTTCTGATTGAATTGCGCTGGGGTAAGGCTTGGACATTGGGATTTTTTTTTAATTGCCCAGGTGATTTATCGTGTAACCAAGGGTGAGAAACACTGGTTTAGTGAAAAAAATATATGTAAGTTAAACACTTAAAGGCGGTAGGCTGCTTCAAGGAAGGGAATAACATAAGGTGAGGAGACAAGAACATATGTATTGTTTATGAGGAAGAGTAAGTAGCTCAGTTTCACTTAAAAAGAGAGTCTGTGAAGGAGAATTTGGTTCCAGCTCTGAAGAGTTTAGAATGCTGGACAAAGCTGTCTGAACTCTTGATTCTACACTCCCCAAGGAGCCAATGAAGTCTTTTGAGAGAGGGAATAAAATAATCAAAATTATAGTTTAAAACATAAATGAAATTAGTATATCAAAGAGGCATCTGCACTCTCCTGTTTATTGCAGCATGATTCACAATAGCCGAGATACGAAATCAACCTAAGTGTCCACCAATGGAGGAATGCAGAAAGAAAATGTGGTACAGATGCCTAATAGAATGCTCTTCAGTGATTCAAATGAATGAAATCCTATCATCTGTGACAATGTGGATGAAACTAGAGGACACTAAGTCAAATAAACTGGGCACAGAAAGACAAATACTGCCTCATTTCCCTCACATGTGAAATCTAAAAAAGCTGCTCTCGTGGAAGTACAGAGTAGAATAGTGGCTACTGGAGGCTGGGGAAGTTAGGGAGGGAAGGATGGGAACAAGTTGATCAATGAGTGCAAGTTACAGTTAGGAGGAATATGTTAAGGTATGCTATTACATAATAGGGTGATATAGTTAACAACAATGTACATTTCAAAATGTCTAGAAGAGCGAATTTTGAATGTTCTCACCACAAAGAAATGTTGAGTGTTTGAGATGATAGACATGCCAATTACCCTGATTTGGTCATTACACACGTATACACGTATCACAACATCACACCATACCCCATAAATATGTACAATTATTATGTGTCAAATAAAAATAAACTAAAGCTTTTTAAAAATTATGGTTTAAGAATAATAGCCTGAGGGAAGTTTATTAAATGACCTAAAAGGAGAAGAGAGGTGGAGATCCCCCGGAGGATTTATAAGGAACCAAGTAAGAGGTCATGAAAACCTGATGTGGTTCCAACAGAGAGAATAGAGAGGAAGGAAGTGAAGTGAGAGGTTATAGGCATTGAATCAACGACACTCAGCAAATCAGTCATATGTTTGACTGGTGAAGGCAGATCCATGCCTCTTTCATGTAAGAAACAGTGAAAGAAAAAAGGAGGAAGTCTTCTCTGGTTCACTCAGTTAATTAACTGGAATTAACATAAACCTTCATGCCATATCCTTCCTTTTCAAAGCATTGTTAAAATATCAGCAGTAACTAGTTGTAAAGCTCCCTGGAATCTGCTTAGCCCAGTTAGACAGACACTATTCTTAGCCTAAGTCATGGTATCATGTGTGCCAATATATTGCAAAACCAGAGCTTAAACTGCAATAGGGTGGGAAAAGCACAAGTCACAGCAGCTTCATTCTGTTTCAGAACAGTCACAGGAGAAGGTGACAGGAGGGGCCCCTTTGGTGGGAAGAGCTGAGATCTCATACTCTGTCGCGACAAAACTCAACATTCCTGGGGAAGCCCCCGGACGGCAAGTCCTCCAGCTGCACTCCCATGTGATTTCTCCTCACTTTCCATTATGAGAAATGTGTGACCATCAGCTAAAGACTTACAGGACTGGTTTCTTCACTCTGAAAATTGCACCTCTAGATTCATAGACCCACCTTTACTCTGTCCCCTGTGATCCAATTGATGTACACAAGCACACTGTTGAAAATGTGTGAAGAAATTCTGTAGTCCAGTTTATGAATAACTAAGTGAAATCACAAGTAAAGTGACACATTTTTCAGTAAGCACCTAAAATCTCTTCTGCACTCCTACAGGCATCCCTCCTTTAAGGTACCTGGGCACATCTCTCTAAGCTCTGACCTCCAGGTGGACAGTGGTCCCTCCTCACCCTCCATTTCTCCCACTTCTTGAGTCAGACTTAACTTCTCCGCTAACTCCCTTCACCCCTAGAGAAACAGAATCTTTTCTTGGCTAGGGACCCAGGAAAAATTGCTTTGACTTATGGTTATGGTTGCTATCCCAGCATCTCTAGCCACGAAAAATTGATATTCCCAAATATCAATTCTTCCAGGTACAGGTTCTTAATCCATACTTGTTTCCCCAGCAGGGACGTTTCCATCATTATCTCCTGGGGACTTTTCACCCCTGACAGCCCAGCTTGGCTTTCCCATTTTCTTTTTACCTCCTCTCCTTCCTCTTCTTTCACAGGCTGTTCTAATCAGCCATTCCCTTACCCTCTTCACTCTGATTAACTAAACTCATCTTCATTATATTTCAGAAGTGAAAAATAAGGTGTCCTTTACATGTCAAATTTCATTGCATGCTGTTGCTGTGGTCCTAAGACGAGAAAGATGCTGAGGCTAAATTTGTGCTCCACCAGAAAAAATATTATGACAGATGAGTGATGTCTGCTACAGGTGGAGATGGGTAGGTGGCAACATACGTATTCAATAGTGGCATGATTTTCCCACCATCTTAGGGTCAGACACCTTGGACAGGTATTACAGGACTACTTTGTCTTGCCCTGCCCCACTCTAGGCTGGGGTTGCCCCTAAATCTACAAAAGTTTATCTGGAATAGGTGTGCTTGTGTTAGTTACCATGAGCAATATGTGGTAAATAAACTGTTTCCAGAAAGGGAATATTGATAACAGAATGGAATTCACACCTGTGGTACACAATGAGGGTCTCTGTATTAGTCAGGGTTCTCTAAAGGGACAGAACTAATAGGATAGATGTATATACGAAGGGGAGTTTATTAAGCAGTATTGACTTACATGATCACAAAATGAAGCCCACAATAGACCATAGGCAAGGGGAGGCGCAAGGAAGCCAGTCTGAGTTCCAAAACCTCAAAAGTAAGGAAACCAACAGTGCAGCCTTTAGTCTATGGCTGAAGGCCCAAGAGCCCCTGGCAAACCACTGGTGTAAATCCAAGAGCCCAAAAGCGGAAGAACTTGGAGTCCGATGTTTGAGGGCAGGAAGCATCCAGCATGGGAGAAAGATGAAGGTCGTAGGACTCACACAGTCTAGTCCTTCCATGTTCTTCTGCCTGATTTATTCTAGCTGCATTGGCAGCTGATTAGATGGTGCCCACCCAGACTGCGGTGGGTCTGCCTCTCCCAGTCCACTGACTCAAAGATTAATCTCCTTTGCTAACACCTCCAACGACACACCCAGGAACAATAATTTGCATCCTTCAATCCAATCAAGTTGACAGTCAGTATTAACCATCATAGTCTCCATGCTAAAAATGTCCCCTTTCCTTTCTGATTCTGCAGCAGTAGAAGCTCACCCTGGCTGGGATCGGTGCCAAACAGTCTGTGATGAAGGAGGGAAGTCTCATCACATGGCTCTGAAAACTGGAGCCGAAGCTGGTGAGCCCACGGTAGTTTGCCAGAAAATGAGGTCCAAGTGGCACGTATAGGTGAGGAGGATCTGAGATGAATGGGAGGACTCTGGAATTAGGAAATGAAGCCAAGGTTTTCAAGAACACAAGAGAAAACAGGGTTTTAGAAACAATAACTAGGTGGCTCTTCCATTTCAAGAGGCAAGGGCTGCAAACATCTCTTTTGCCTTTATTCGAGTGGACACCTAGCAAGTAGAGTCTACGATAAACTTCTCTTCCCAGTAAGCCAGGATACAACCCATTATCAGATGGGAATCTGGCTGCCTAGCTTCTGTTCTCAGGAGTGCCAACGGCTCTCTCTCTAGCTTCCTTTCAATCACTACAATGTAACAGGGTTCCAGAGCTGGGCCTCACTGCTCAGGCCCAGGAAGTTGAGATCTGCCTGAGCATAGTCAAGGGGCCAGCAGGGACCTGCTGCCCTGATCATTGCTCATTAAAGCCCAGGGGGTTTCACGGGAGCATCTCATAGGGTCAGCTGGTGCGCAGATCTATTTGGAAAGACTAACCTCCTTGAGCTGCTGGGCAAATAAAGGCCATTCTTCACAGGGAAGGAAGATTGGGAAGGAAATCCTGAAGGGAAAGGGTGGAGGGGTAGAGGTACAAGAAGTACAGGCCTGGTGTGAGGCCAACAGTTGAGAGCGGAAAGAAAAGGCTCTCAAGGGTATCCCGGGGAAGGAGGAGTCAGGTATGTTTCCTGCTCAGTCCCTTTGGGTTTTGTGCCAAAGTCTAAGGAAGCAGAGCCTTGATGAGAAGCAAGGCCCTTAAAAACCAATGAACAAGCAAAAGCTCTGTTTTTAAAGAGGAAAGAGTGCAAACAAGCCCGACCCTGTGGCCTTCACATAGAGAAAAATGGACATGGAAAATGTTTGTTCCCACTTCGTACAAGGTCTGAGGTACAAAGTGGGAGAGAAAGGGGATACAATAGCAGAGGTGGCTCCACTGGCTCAGAAGTAGCAAAAAAAAGCCACTACAGAGCCCTGGTGGGGCCCACTCACAAGTGGGAGAGGACTCAGGACAGCGGGGAGCCCCGTGGGAACTCCTGTGAAAGGCTGGGGCACAGAGCAAGTGGAAGAAGAAGGCGTTCACAAATAGCAAGTCATCCTCAGCTATCACGGCCTCAGGAAGTGGAGCCATGGTTTCAGAAGGGACTAAACTACAGGTGGCTTTAGTGTGACCTTACTGCATCCCCACCTTTGTGTGAGAAATCTGAATGACATCTAAATCTAGAGGTCTTAACTCAGGCAGTGGCTTTCACACTACATTCTGAGAGGCTTTGGGGTTTCATGGGTGGTGCACAGTGAGACATGCCAGTTGCATACATATAAGGGCTGGCCTAGGACCTCCCAAATCTATCTTTAAAAAAAAAATTACCTTTTTTTGTATGACAGCTCCTCATTTTTTCCTCTTAGAAAGCTCACTCCTGGAATGCTGACTCCCAGAATCCAGCCACCATGCTGTGACAGGCTCAAGCCACATGGAGAGGTCACCTATAAGCGCTCTGGTCAACAAGAAAATGAGATTTTAAAAACAATTTCTGAATGAATAAAACAAATTAAAAGAATATAGAGCTAATATAAAATTAAAACAATAAAAACTGGTGAATATTAAATTACTGACAGTATTACTAATAAAAAAACTATATAGGAGATATATCTTCTATTTTGTGGTTTTTCAATTCAGATACATCAATTCTTCTTATATTGGATTATGTTTATCTACTACATATATTGTCTCCTATATAGTTTTTATTGTAATACTGTCAGTAATTTAATATTCACCAGTTTTTATTGTTTTAATTTATATTAGCTCTATATTCTTTTAATTTGTTTTATTCATTCAGAAATTGTTTTTAAAATCTCATTTTCTTGTTGCCTTACTGATTTGATATTTTTATTCAAATTTAGTGAGAAATGAGTGTGATTAATATGCTTCTATTGGCTTGAGTTAAATTTTTAGGGGCGAGTGTGGTGGCTCACACCTGTAATCCTAGCACTTTGGGAGGCCGAGGCAGGTGGATCACCTAAGGTCAGGAGTTCAAGACCAGCCTGGCCAACATGACAAAACCCTGTCTCTACTAAATATACAAAAATTAGCCAGGTGTGGTAGTGCACACCTGTAATCCCACTTACTTTGGAGGCTGAGGAAGGAGAATTGCTTGAACCTGGGAGGTGGAGGTTGCAGTGAGCCAATATCATGCCACTGCACTCCAGCCTGCGTGATGGGAGTGAGACTCCATCTCAAAAAAAAAAAAAAAAAAGTGTTAGCTAGGTTAGGCTTTGTGTCTTCTGCATACTATAATCCCTTTTTTCTTTTATTTTCTTCTGCTCAGTGGTTTTTCTTTTTTTTTTTTTTTGGTCAAAAGGTTATTTTATTGTATTATTTATTTATTATTAATTACACTTTTTATTTTGAGATAATTTTAGATTCACATGTGGTTGTAAAAAGTAATACAGGGAAATTCTATGTATCCTTTGCCAATTTCCCTCAATGATAACATCTTGTAAAACTGTCATACAACATCAAGACTAGCATATTGACATTGATACAAATCTTACTCAGATTTTCTCCAATTTACTTGTGCTTATGTTTATGTGTGTGTCTGTGTCTGTGTGTGTGTGTGTGCTTGTATTTAGCACTATGCGATTTTTATTGCTGTGTAGGCTGGCATTTTACTACCGAAGTCAAAATACAGAATGGCTTCACCACCATAAGGATATAGTAGGTTGTCCTTTGTAACCATAATTGATTAATTGAACATTTTATATAAATGGAATAATGTAATACACGGTCCTTTGTAACTTGCCTCTTCCATTTAGCGTAATGTTCCAGGGTTCATCTATATTGTAGCACTTTCCACTACTTCATTCCTTTCTATTGCTGAATAACATTTCACTTTATTGATATACCATATTTTATTATATATTCATTAGTTAATGGACATTTGAGTTGTTTCCACTTTTTGGCTATTACGAATAATACTGATATGAACATTCATGTACAAGTTTTGGTGTGGTCCTATGTTTTCATTTCTTTTGGGTTGATACCTAAGAGTAGTGCTGCTGGGTGATATGGTAACTCTATGTTTAACTCTTTGAGGAACTCAGTGTGTTCTAAAGTGGTTGCACCACCTCACATCCTCAATCGCAGTGTACCAATTTCTCCACATTATCAGTTTGTTGTTGTTTTTTGAGACAGGGTCTCATTCTGTCACTCGGCCTGGAGTGCAGTGGTGCGATCTCAGCTCACTGTAACCTCTGTGCCTCTCGGTTCAAATGATTCTCTTAGCCTCCCGAGCAGCTGGGACTACAGGTACACCACCACACCCAGCTAATTTTTGTATTTTTAGAAGAGACGGGTTTTGCCATGTTGGTCAGACTGGTCTTTAACGCCTGGTCTCAAGTGATCCGCCCCCCTCAGCCTCACAAAGTGTTGGGATTACAGGTTTATCTACCACATATATTGTCATGGCAATATAACAAAGAACGGAATGTGAGAAAAATTTAATGAGCCCATTTTCTGAAACTGCAGGTAGTATGAAATTAACAATGAAATATCAGTAGTTTAGGGGATACAATACAGATATTATCAATCAGCAATTACTTTTGTGTCCAGAATTTTACCACAACCCTCCATAGCCCTATAAATATGTCTCACTTTATGGACAGAAGTTCAATGCTCAGTGAGGTTAACTTGCTCTGAATCATACAGGTAGTCCCATAATTTGAACTCTGTTCTCCCTAACTCAAGACCAATTTTTACTTAACAAACCATGTAATCTTATGTCTAGATGGTGAAATTATACATGGTTTCAATTTTCTTCTTTTGGCTTATTTTTTTCTAAAGTTTCAACAATAACATATGCTGCTTTTGTGATTTTTTTTTAAAAAGTAGGAATCTTAAAAGATTCACACAAAGGTTATTTTTCATAGGAGCAATATATAATCTCTAATCTTTGGAATTTTAACTTTCATAATGCCAGGATAGTGGTTGAAACTGATTGGTTATTTTTCTCACCTTTTTACTCTTTTTTTTGTGGGGATGGGGCAAGGGAGAAGTAGGTTAAATACAAAATACATTCAGAAATAATAACAACAAATTCAGAAATTAAACTGGCTGGGTTTTACTAGTCTAGACTGACACAGTCTGTTTTCTGGAAATCTGTCTAAGCCTTCTGTCTTTTTTTTTTTAAACTGTTTGAATAACAGTTAAACACACACACACACACTGCCACTGCTTCCACTTGGCACGGTGAGGCTGTATGCATTGAGGCAATGGAGAGATCCAGGGCTCACCCTGATCCAAGGTAAATGCCGCAGGGGCAGGCAAAAGTCTTCCCACATAGAATACACCCATCATGAGCCTGGTCAGAAATAAGCATCCTCTGGAAGGAGACAAGATGCAGACGTGCGATGACAGACTCAAATGGGCACGTTCAAATCTTTCACCAGAAAAACAGCCTCTGTCTGTCAAGTTCCTTGAACTTTGAGTTACTGGCTAAGGTGCCAAGCAAAGGGCTCGGCCAAGTCCTGAGCAGAACTCCTTTCCTCTCCAAAGAGCCAGTAAGGAATCAACGATGAAGAACCTGCCAATTTTCTGTCACTTGGAGAGTTTCCAAGCTTAGGATCCTGTTCAAGGAACCAAAGTCCAAGAGGCCTGTGTAAGAAGAGCAAACAGAATTCTCTTAACTCTTACAAAATATCACTAAAATATGTCGGAAATGCTGTGAGGAAATTACATACTTTTAATTTGTCAGGTCAGCAAAAGTGGGTGGTTAGTAGAGAAAAGTGATCTTGTGAGCTGGCAAGTTATTCTTCCATTCCTCCTTCCGTGTATTTGTGTGGGGTAAGTCATTTTAAACAATTTCCTCTGACTTGGAAGTTTGGAAACATAATGGAATTCAAAACACAGTGTTTTATTTTTTTTCTTGGTGGTTGTTGTTCCTCAGAAGTCAGTGAGGGAGGAGAGAGTGGGAGGTGGAGAGATTTAATGTCCCAAACAGATTTAAAAACTGAAGTTTAAGAAAATTTCCCTCCCACATAAATAGGATTTTTCATGGTATAGGGCTGTTTGTGGTTCTCTCTCAATGCTCCAGGTTTTAAAGGGCTACTCTTTAAGTAACCTCTCTGACCATGTAAATAATGAGACAATTGCAAGAAATCATCTTTGAAGAAGTGATGATTTTACCAGAACAGGAGCTCAAATAATCTCATTGCAATATTTTGAAAGATTGAAAGAAATAGGCTTTATTTACTTTCTTAGACCAAAAAAAAAATCAATTTTTGAAAACAAGAAAAAATAACTGAATGCTTAATAACCAGAGAGCCCTTTGTAACTTTGGTCACGGTGAATGGATTAAATGAACTCTCACCTCATTTGTAAGCAGAACTTAAATTTCTTCCCTCACCTGTTGTGGAGGGAAGGAGAAAGTGGCTGGTGAAACGAACGTCCCTGGAGTTAGTTTTCCTAAATCAATGGTCCTTGAGATCTTTCCTTAACTTTCAAGCTATCCTGGACATTCTCTTTTCTACGGCTGTGGTAAGTTACAACTCGTGTGTGTGTGCGTGTGTGTGCGCGCGCGCACGCGCACGCGCATGCGTGTAGAAAGAGGAACTTCTCTGAAAGAAACAACATGGTTTGCAGAGATAAGCTCCATCTAATACAAATACAGAGAAAGATGGTGCTGCTGCTAAAACAAACCCTTTAAGCATCTCAGAGTGAATCACAGAGAGCACATTTCCAATGTCCCACCGGAGAGTTTTGCTTCTTAGAGCTATGGCTTCTCATCCATGTTTCTTTGAATCAATGGTCTTTGCATCATTTGGATCGCTTTCTCAGAAGAAAGGGACAAGTTATACCACGGGGCAGTCAAGTCTCTACTTTTATTTGTGAGACCCAAATACATGCTGATCTCCTGTGCTCTCAACTCTATGTTTAAGGAGTACCAGTCCAGCTGCCAAATAGGAATTAAAGAGGATTTGAATCTATACTTCCCTCTCCCTCAGGGGTTCTAATCAAGAGCCATCAAAGCCTCTACCTCCTTTTCTGCCAATTCTCCCCTTACCCCTAGGTCTCCAGCAATCCCCAAGAGCCTCTAACTTGTAAAATCCAAAATTCCCTCTTCCAAAACAGTCCACACGGCTTCTCTCTGCTCAGCCCCTGGCCTACCTTCTCTCCCCTTTTTGTGATATAGATCATCATTGCCACCCTAAGCCATTAGCCCCATTCACTCACTTCCTTTCCATCAACCTTTCCATTTCTCTGTCTACCCTCTTCCATTCTCCCAATTCTGCCTAATAAACTGCCCAGGAACCCAACTGGCAAGGACTCTCATTTACTAGTTGGAGACCGAGTTGCAGAAGAAAATGTATGCATGAGGCAAGGGCTTGGGATAAAGGAATCTGGACACCTTCACCTATAAACAACTCCACCCACCACACTTGCAAGACAGAAAAACAGCTTGTAAACCTAGCTGATAACTGTATTTCCCCCAGCTTCTAGTGCACATATCAGGGTTTCTTTAGCCCTAGCCTGCTGCAAATCTGCATTTTATTCCCTTTTCTAAGGGAGCATTTGCTAGAAAGGAGTTTCTAAGCACCAAGCCTAGACAAGGAGCAAGGAAGTAGATAACTATGAGCTGCAAGGGTCTGTGGCAGCTCATATCTTATTCCCTGTCTCTTCTCCCTTCTATGTTTTGACTCCAAGAATTACAGCTTTTCCTGTGTGCAGTCCATAGACCTCACATCTAGCCTATCATGGTCAGAATATTGGCAGGTGAAGGAGGGGTTGAGGGTGACATGAAAATGAGAAGTGTCCCACAGAGCCATTGTGGGGTGCACTACTAGCTATCAGCTCATTATTCTCTCTCTCTGGGGTCATGCCTTGGAAAGTGCGTATCTAGACTACTCTAGAATCAGAGCTACCACCAGACAAGGTGGGACTGAATATTATAGCCTCCTTTCCTGAAATCTGTTGTACTGCCCAACAAAAATGTCCATCCCCACCAAAGCACCCTGACTACTCTTTTTAATTGCACCCAGGAATGTTTAAAAAAAAAAAAAAGAGGAAGGCTCTTGGTGTGAACTCTCTCTCTCTCAAACTGAAGCTTGGATTACTTCACAAATTAGAGCTTGCAAAGTCATGCATGCTGTATTAAATTCACTGAATTTCTTCTTACCACAGAATATCAACCTACCATTGACTTCAGGCTGGTTTTGTGTACACTAGTCTGTTGCTTAGAATTTTATGAAAAGGTTGCTGTATCTCCTTCTAACTTACTATACACATGTATACACGTTTTCCTTCTACACCACCTCTTCCATGTTGCCTACATAATTCCTGCACTCATCCCTCATGTTCTTACCAGCCAGGCCTCAGCTAACTTCTTCCTGAGTCCACCTTTTCTTTGTTTTGGCATTTTACATTTTATGTTTTCAGTTATTTAATAGTTTTAACAATTACTTTACAACAGAACCCCGAATTATCCACAAACACCATAGGTACCTTCATTTTGAAAAGGATATTTTGATAAAGATGACTGGCTAAGAAATAAAGCAAGAAAAGCAACACACAAAATGTGTACCCCAAGCTCATTTTTGGAGGTATTTAGTGGACAGTCTCTCTTGAATCCTAAGCAGGCTGGTCATGCTTGGCCCAGAATTCCCAAATAATGATTTGCGTCTGAAATTTCCCATAAGGTTTTGCAATGTTCTATCATACCTATGACAGTCCAGAACAATACTAATCCAGAAGCGTTTTTAGGTAATTGAGAGTCCACCTTTTCAATCTTGACTTTTCTATCTTCTCCTAGCCTTTATCCTGCCATTCACCATCATTGGACAACAATGATTTGGTGCTTACTATGTAATTTAAGACTTTACCCTATGAGGTATGTGTTACCGTGATCCTTTTTAACATTAAAATACAATAACATAAAACTTACTATGTTAACCATTTTTAAAGTGCACAATTCAGTGGGCACTTAGTGTGTCACAATATTGCACAGCTGGGTGTGGTGACTCACACCTATAATCCAGCACTTTGGGGAGCTGAGAAGGGAGGATCATTTGAGCCCAGGAGTTGGAGACTAGCTGGCAACCATAGGGAGATCTCCATCTCTAAAAAAATTAAAAATTAGCGGAGTGTGATGGTGTGTGCCTGTGGTCCCAAATACTCGGTGGTTGAGGTGAGAGGATTGCTCGTGCCTGGAGGTCAAGGCTGCAGTAAGCTGTAATCATGCCACTACTCCAGACTGGGGCAACAGAGCAAATCCTGTCTTGAAAACCAAAAACGAAACACACACACATATACAATGTTGTGCAAGCAATCACCACTATCTAGCTCCGGAACATTCTTATCACCCCCCCAAAAAAACCGTATACTCACTGACTATACCTACTGCCCTCCCACCAGCCACTGGCAATCACTAACTGGCTTTCTATCTCTACCAATTTTCCTATTTTCTTATAAATTCAATTATATAATGTGATTAAATATCGTATGATTTTTGTATCTTTCACGCAGCACACATGCTTTCGAGGTTCATCCATGTTGTAACAATGTATCAGTATTGCATTCCATTTATGGCTGAATAATATCCTCCAGTGTACGGATATACTGCATTTTCTTTATCCATTCACAAGTTGATAGACATTTGAGTTGCTTCCACCTTTTTAACTATTATAAATAGTGCTTGCTTTAAACATTCACATACAAGTTTTCATTTGAACACCTGTTTGCAATTCTTTTGGATATACCCACAAAAGTGATATCATGGATCATATTTTAATTCTATATTCAGCTTTTTTTTTTTTTTTTTTTTTGAGACAGAGTCTCACTCTGTCACCCAGGCTGGAGTGCAGGTGGTGCAATCTCGGCTCACTACAACCTTGCCTACTGGTTCAAGTGATTCTCCTGCCTCAGCTTCCTGAGTAGCTGGGATTACAGGCACATGCCACCCACCTGGCTAATTTTTGTATTTTTAGTAGTGATAGAGTTTCACCATGTTGGCCAGACTGCTCTCGAACTCCTGACCTCAGGTGATCCACCTACCCAGCCTCCCAAAGTGCTGGGATTACAGGCGTGAGCCATCGCGCCCAGCCTATATATTTAACTTTTGAGGAACTGCCAAACCTTTCCACAGAGGCTGCATCATCTTACATTCTCACCAGCAATGTATGAGGGTGCCAATTTCTTCACGTTCTTGCCAACGCTAGTTATTTTCTCCCCTTTTTTTATAGCTGTCCTAGTGGGTGTGAAGTGGTAGCTCATTGTTCTGTGGTTTGTATTTCCCTGGTGGCTAATGATAAATATTTGTGCATCTTTCCATGTGCTTTTTGGCCATTTGTATATCTTCTTTGGAGGAATATCTATACAAGTTCTTTGCCATTTTTTAAGAGGTAGGGT